CCCCCCCCCCTGCACGCATAAACTAAAAGCTGGAATTGCCTATTAAGGTCTTTAAAGGCAATGGCTCAATCACGGAAACGAGGCTCTATAGCCACGACTAAGTACTTTTTGGAAGGGTGTATTCTATCTATGCATGATATACATGTGTTCAAGTTTCTTATCAGTTTTTATATTTTCCCCTTTAGTTAATCTCGTGGGTGACGATCACGTATATGTGTATATGTGCTTACTACACAGTGTTCAGAATTCGCATCTTTAATTATTATTATTTCGCTCCACATCATCAAACTGACCCAAATAGCTTGCTGTTCAGTGGACTGTAAGTACTTGAGATTAATTATAATTTTTTGAATTAGTTATAGTCATTCTATTTCATTTTGTTTGATTGTGTAATTTGCTCGTGGAATGCTGATATATTGTTGTTCATTTTTTTAGCTTACTAAGTCGTCTGACGTACGCTCTATGTTTGAATTTCTTGAGTGTAATCCATCTTGATAGTCATATTACTGGCGTTCTCGACCTTGAGGATACTGCTTTTACGTCGGTGAGTTGTCCGTTTTTAATATGTTACTATATTTTCCTATTTTTCCATAACCACTGCATGTGGTCTTGTTTAGCCAGCTACTGTAGATAATAACACCAATAAGATAATAACACTAATGTCGATTAGGCCAGAGGCTCATGATAAACGTATATACTGTACACAATAGCTAAGACCTCAGATTAAGTTTCTATAGCCAGGGGGGGGGGGAACTGGAAGACCCGAAGAAAAACCCTGGAAGAGGGGCGATCCAACCAAACTGTACTTATACACGAGTTTGTAAATACAGGAAAGTTACCTAACCTGCATGCCGTCGACCTATACAGTGACAGACTTAATTAATTAACTATTGCTGGCAAGGGGCAGTGTGCATGAGTGCATCCCTTGACATTATTGGTACAATCGTATATGTATTTATTTATTTATTTGGAGTATAATTGCAAGTTTGCTATTTCTTTCTAGATAATGGGTCATATGGACGTTCTTTCATTTATAGCGAATGGTTTTAATATTTATTATCCAATGAGTATCGTGTTAGTTTGCATGGCTACATACTTTAGTTTGGGATCTCGTTGTTTGAACTGCTTGGGATTTCAAGCTTTTGTTGTTGAGGATGATGTGTCAGTTGATTATGTCGCGGAAGGAAAGGATCTCGTCAGAAGAGGTAGGACTCTATGAGCAGTGATTGCTGTTAATCAATACAAACTTGTTAATAATTTAAAAACCAAACTAGTTTACGTTATTTTGAAATCATTACGTTATTTTTAAATTTTACGGAAAATTTTGAAAACTGATGTCCCAAAACTGATAGCCAAATCCTGCATTCTGGAAGTCTAGTTGACAGTTATAATATCTATGTATATTTCACTGTAATTTTCTATTTGGGCCCCTCCACCCCTCTGGGCAGCCTTGCATGACATCATGCACCTGCAGTTACGAATATATCTATATGACAGCATAGTTTCATAATCACATGCTTGCAGAAAAGAAATATTTTCGTCTTGGCAAATGAAAGGCGGCTTAGGCGTGACAAACCTCTAGAGGAGTTCCAGGGGCATACACCCACAGAAAATGTTGTAATCTAGGCTCTCTAAAAGGGCATTTCCTGCATTGTATGGGAACATTCTATAGAATTTTGAAGACTATACACTAATTACAAAAAGTTAAGTATCATTCACTTCATCTTCCAAGCTCATAAAGAAATGTTTATTTGTTAATTTGATGAACGTTAAGTATAATATTAGTGCGGACGTTCGATAATTTGGGACAATTTGGGCGTTCAATTTCATTCAAATTATTCTCATTCAAAATGTTTTGATTAAAACTGTCAAGACGAATTTTTAGTTCAGTTTTTCTGCTCATGCCTCATTTTTACAGCAAATTTTATCACTGCACATTTTACTTTTATCACTGCACAAATTGGTTATCACTGCACACTAAAATTAGGTATGCTACTAAGGGGCTGTTATATATGAGGCGGAAGCTGATTCGAAACTTTTTCTTTAATTTGGGACAAGAGAAGATTTGGATTGGCGGAAAGACAAGTTTATACTTACAGTATTCTAAACCGAACCTCTCCTTTATCATTTTATATTCACTTATTTTTTAGAAAAACGTGAAAGAGATGTTTCAATCAATCCTGGAGATACAAGACAGGTTTGAACATATCGTTTTTTTTATAAGAATTATAGTGATGTATAAGATGTAAACGAGGTATTTATTGTTCATCATAGTTCCATTAATTATGGTATGAGTTTATGCAGTTGATATCGTCTTCCATAGTCTCATTTAGAATGAGTAAAAATGAATGGTATTGATAGTTTAGTCAATTTGAATTATTTGATAACAAATAGTGATGATAAAATATGATAAGATGTAGTAAAAAAAGATCTGTGCAAGACTAATAAGCTTGGCTTATATATATATGCATGACGAAACGCGTATAGTCGTGAATATAATTGCTCGAGTATATACAATATAGCATCCATGCATTATACCAATACTATAGATTCCCCTTATTACGTTTTCGTAGCGCTTTGCATTGTGGTTATAGTGGTATCACTGATATTCAAGATGGCTTATTTTTTGTTCTGACCCGTGCAACTTTTGAAAAAAGCTAGGGTCAGGTGCACGATAGCCAACAGCAAAATATTCGCGAAAACATTCAATATTTTCATTCGAGGCCGCTATCTTTATCAGTGATAGCGGGGGGAAACAAAGTAAAACATGTCTAATATTTGATCTGTGATTGATTTTAGCGCTGGACAAGCCGTGGACAAGAACTAAAAGATAAACTAAACAAAAACAGAGGAGAAAGCTCTAGCGACATAAGCGTTGATCCAACACCAATGGTTGCAGGTTCATCTACGAGATTAGTTGGTGAAAGAAATATTGCTCGATATTTGAAATCTTCACGACATGATGATGATCGTGTTGAGCTATTGTCTGATGTTGATGATCAATATTCTTCATCACGATATTCACCAGCAAGGTCAGATCGCACTGTACCTAAAAATGTCTTTGATGATATTTGATTATTTTATTAATACTAAATTATTTAAGAATATTAATGCATGATTATTTATAGATTATGTATCTATTCAACAATTAGAATATCGGAAATTTGAACATATTTAATTTCCTAGATTATGTTAGACTAAAAGTTGCCTCATGGCTGTGATGGTACACAAGAAGCCGTTTATTATCTGATTTCCAAATACGAAGAAGTTTGTTGAAAAGCGAGGCGCTGCAGGATGAGTTTTTTAAACCAACTTCGAAATGTTTGGAAATCAATAATGTATACAACTTCTCAACTTGGTCTAATTTATGGGCGTTTGTTACTAATTTTCCAAGATATGCGCTAATTGATTTATTTATGAATAATGGATGCCAAATTCTTTCATAGTACCAGTTCAATAAGAATTAACTTGCCATGCATGCATGCATATTTGAAGAACTTTCAACTTTGAAATAATCTATGAAACATTTTACAGTTTAAGGAATAAATTTAACGGAATAAAAATAGCAAGTGCACAATCGGCAGGCCCAATTATTGACTGCGGACATAATTCAGGATGTATATAGGCCTACATGCACGCATGCATGCATAAAATGCATCCACTATCAAATAAATTAGTATATTTAAATACTATAATGTATTAATGTTGTAGTTATTCACAAGCTTTCGTTGGTAGGGATACAACTACCTGAATAATATAAAGAGAATTTCGACGTTTCGAGCGAAGGCCCTTCGTCTGGAGTTTCGAACGAAGGGCCTTCGCTCGAAACGTCGAAATTCTCCTTAGCCTCCTTACCAACGAAAGCTTGTGAATATTATACACTGGCACAGACAGTTCAATGTTCATGTAGTTAGCATCCTTGCACGTTGTATTTAATCAATGGTTTCCTAGTGAATGTTTTTTACGTTTAAAAGTACTATATATATATATACCCGAGCAAGCGCGTAGGGAGGGCATGACCAATTCCCTCGCGGTTATTTACACACAGGTGAAGGAAAGACCTAGCGGATGGCGAGGCAGTTGGCTCCATATTCGCCAATGTGGAATGCCAATATGGAGCCAACTGGCTCGTCGTTTTTGAAGTATGATCTTTGGATTTTTGTTTCAATCTATGTTTTCTTAAATTGTTCACTGGGAATGGATTATGTCGAAAAAACTACCAGATGAACTACAAGTACTATATACAAACTGTTTTATATCGTTGTTTGGTTTGAAAGTGCGAGGGATTATTGCATAGGCTAGCTACATGTATTTCTATAGTATATGATTTTAAGTCCTATATTTATGAATGCCGGTTAATTGCAGAAATGAGTGGCAATTTAATATTTAGAACTTGCAATTTATATAACTTTATATATAGTTTGTATTTCACATTAAAAATTTTCAACGTGAAACTTAAATTTTGGAGAGTAAATGTATACCACATATATCCTCTAAAAATTGTGCGTAAATGTTAAAAACCCATATGAAACTCGAGGAAGCGCACGAGTGGCGTTCCAGTTTTCCATTCCGGTGTTCCATGCACGTTCCGGCTTTTAGTGCTAACGTTAGGCCGTTTTTTCCACTTCAACCGTGTCGTAGCCTTTTGGGGTAAAGACCTAAAATGATCATGTTTTTTGATTGGCTTTCAGAAACAAATCCGAAACAAAGATGATCATTGTTCGTGACTCGTTCTTTAGAAAGACGATTTCTATAGTTTTATTGTCTTTCATTGTTATAATCAACCAACCACGATGATGACCCAGCCTTTTTGCTTGTATCGAAGTCATTGGTTCCGAGGAAGTGGAAAACGGCCTTCATAAAGATATGCAAACTTCAAACTGAATTGTAGGCAAACAGCTAAACATTGGTTGGAAAACTCCAAATATCATCAATTACAGAACAGTTTAAAAGTAACCATACCGCAGGACTAAATCACATCAACGAAATCATGATGGCTGTCATGAGGATCGATGTTTGCAGTTCTGTTAATCGTTTGCATCGCATGGTGCATTATAGTTGACACACAATTTTATATACAACGCTGACACGACGGTTTTGACCTTCTACATTCTTAACTTGCAACCTGCATCAGACAGAAAGCTCTTATCTTAGAGACTGATCCCTGTTTGCTGGGACGAGATGGAAGCATATATACAGGGTGTATAAAAAAAACTGAACAGATTTGAAATTGCTTTCAATTTCGCAAAACAGCTCGTGGTATCAAGTTTTTGTTATATATAGACTACTTGAGTACCCAAAATGTAGAATAATGAAAAAATACTCGAACTCAAATTGTGTAAACCAGGGGGATGTTTCTTTTCCAACAAACTAAAAATGGCTTGCGCACGAAATTTAAAAGTTTAATCGTATTTTGAGTTAATGGATGGAACATTTGTTCGGTTTTTAATTACTGTACAAAATTTCAGACAATTTGCTTTAGTTTAATTAAGCCCTTCAATTCATTATTCATTTTTTCCTAAAAAGTCAGCCTTTCGCATACTTAATGGTGCCTTTACCTAATTTGCATATTGCTGACATGCAAATTAGGCAAAGGCATAATTAAGCATGCAAAAGGCTGACTTTTTAGGAAAAAATGTAAGTTTGCGTGAATAGTTGAAGGGCTTATTAAACTGAAGCAAATTGTCTGAAATTTCGTGACGCAATTAAACGTACCCAACGCATTTTTCACCCATTATCTCAAAATACGATTTTTAAAAAGCTTTAAATCTCGTGCGCAAGTCATTTTTAGTTTGTTGGAAAAGATCCCCCTCCCCCCGGTTTACAAAATTTGAGTTCGAGAAATTTTTTTTCATTATTCTACATTATAAGTACCCAAAGAAGCTATATATATAAAAAACTGGATACTAATAGCTGTTTTGCGAAATTGAGAGCAATTTCAAATCTGTTCAGATTTTGTTTTACACCCTGTAGAATAGAGACACACAGAAGGCATTTCAAAAATGAAATCAATCGATTTTTGTAGCCACCATAATGGGATTCCCACACGGCAATCTTGGAAATCAGTGTTTTTTATATATAATATTTAGTGTTAAAAGTAGTCTTAAAGGATGGACCATTAGAAAAGTGATGGGGGGGGGGGACATTTCCAACCTGTGAGATCATTTTTTCAAACATTTTTCCTTGTGTTGCTAATTTTCTTTTAAACCATCCCTTGCTCGAATTTTTTTTCCAAAAACGTGTTGGTGAGGGGGGGGGTTAACATTTTTTCAAGACAAAAAAAAGGGTCAAAAAAATATTTGCGGACTAACATCAGTTAATTTAAGCAGGGTACAAAAAAATTTTCCCTCACATATACTTCTTAAAACATGCTTAAAACCTTTTTTCAACCAATATCTTCAATATTTAGGTTTAGAAACTTATTTTCTGAAACCATTACTTATATCAAAAAAAGTTTTATTTTCCAAATTTGGGGGCCACCCTTACACAATTTATAATTTTCCCTATTGAAAAGTCTCTGCACGAATTTTTTTTTAAAATTTTTTTCTTGCTCGAATGTTTTTTTTCTGTTAAGGTCCCCTGCTCGATTTTTATTTTTGCTTTTGCCCCTAATAGATGCATGTAAGATTTTTTGTAAATAGTTCCTATACACTGAAGATTTTACCGTGTTAAATAAATGTTCAATGTTTTTGTTTATGTAAAAATGAGGTCCTTCGTTGTCACGTGCGTATTGTATCCCCCCCCCCGGCCTCTCATGCGTCTTATTGGCTTAGTACGTATCTGATTGGTTAATGGTCCTTTAAAGATAGCGGCAACGGGAGTGGAAGTCACTCTGAACCTCTCTAAATACGAGGAACAACACCGCGGTAACTTGCAACAAAATCTGATTTCATCGCATAAACAACTTATACACGTGGACAATTTTTATTGACCTGCAACGTGCAAGCTAACCAATTAAACCTGGCCTGCCAAACGATTTTATTCGGCTGACAATGTGAATGATAACAAGGAACAGTGTCAATGAATGTTAATGAGGATCCATGATCTACGGAAACATTTATTTTCTTTGCTTTTTATTGTTTGATTTGTTGTTTGATTAAAATTTTTAATAACAATAAAAATACGAAAAAAATAGTTATTTCATTCAAAGAAAAAATATGAAAATTGTATAAATTTTTATATTGCTTTATATTTTGAAATCAAACGACAGTCAAACTCCCAGGACGCATGATCATGATCGCGTGTATGAAATTATCTCTAAAATATATTATATTAAAAAAATATTCAGTATCCCAAGGCGCGTAGTTATTAGAGAGGTTCAGATTTGACTTCCACTACCAAACGCATCTAATTGGTTAATGGTTCCTTAAATGTGACGAATAACACAAAATAAACGTGTAGTTGCGAAGTGCTTTGCCGCACGATTTGAACTGCTTCAGCAGTATAGCCACGAGTGTGTTTCTTGATGTGGGCTGCTGATTGGCTAGATCATTAAAATTTATGCAGCGTTCCTAAAGCACGTAGTTCGTTGATTGAGACACGTGTTTCGAACTATTCCACCAGAAACGTTATTTCAAACCATAGTTAACAGAAGAGATCTATGTTAGCCTATTCAACGTTTGTGTAAAAATTAGGTCCTTCGTTGTCCCGTGCGTATTGTATTTTTGCCAAATCAACCAATAGCAATGTTTTAGGAAAGTTATCTATCCCGACTATCCGTGACTTCAATAATTGGGTAACTTAAAAATTGCTGTTTGTAGATTTGGCGAAAATTCAATATGCATGCTGACAACCAAGGATCACATTTTTGCATAAACGTTGCCTAACATAGTAATGAGTTACATTGTTATTCTAATGATTTCCAAGGCTATTGACTTTGTTCAAACCGAGATTGCCATTTAAGTCATCCTCATTATAACAAGCATTAATAATCAAGTACATTGCAATTATAGGTCAAAATGAAGAGCTGAGATTGTGATATTCGGCAGACCATTGATGAATAAGATCTGTAGACACCCTACTTACAAACAACCAAACGGTGGATGCCAGTGTAGGTAGGAGAGGGTAACAAATTGTGGTCTTTGGACTAGGCTTGGGCGGTTTTACTTAAAGTCTGATTCTAAACCGGTAAAACCAGTTTTTTTTTCCCTTTAATTTTTACTTCAACTGAATGTGAAGGAAACGAACAGGCACGACAAAACGCAAAATTGTGTAAAGGTAACCTAAAACGACTTCAGTTTTAAAATAAAAGGGTCAAGAACGCATTTGAAAACTTATACCTCAGTCTTTAGTTCTTACCGACTTTACGGAAAAATAATATAATTTTTATTTAGTGTCATGTAATTGAGTTTAATTAGCGTCATGTTTCGAGAATTAAGATCGAGTTTCGGGCGATGACAGTAAATAATTACGTAATGACGGTTTTCTGGTTTCTGTAAAAGCTAAACCGAAAAAAAACGGTTTGAAAATAAAACCGAAAAACAGGTAAACCGCCCAAGCCTACTTTGGACGTGATACAACTACCGGAAAAATACAAAACTGAAAACGAACTTCGAAGTTTTGAGCGAAGGCCCTACGTCTGGAGGTAAGTAGTGTGGATCGAAAAAACACATAAAAGCATCTGATTAGTTTATTTTTATCACGTGATAGCTTTTGTATATAGAGGATATTACACGGCGGCACGAAGATAGGACTTTTATCTTATATTTTACGAGTAAAATATCGTTTTTAACACGAGAAGATAAAAGTCATATCTTCAAGCCACCGTGTAATGTTCTGTTTATTATATAGTCCCAAGCAAAAATTGTGAAATTTCACGCTCAAAAGCAAATTGGAAAAAGTCACGTGATCGATATCTTTCACTATAGCGAAGATATGGAAAATATCTCACTGTGTATTTTCAGTATCTCACTCCCTACTATACTGATAATTGTAATATTAGAGCACATGTTTTCCCGATCTACTCCACTATTAAAGGCCGTTCTCCACTATGCAGAATTTTCCGCGTGGAGCAGAATTTCTCTTTGTCTTTTCTAAAGGCCGTTTTCCACTAGGCGGAATTTTCCGCGCGGAGCGGAATTTCTCTCTGTCTTTTCTAATTAGTTCCATCCGAGTAATCACAAGACAAAGAAAAATTTCGCTTCGCGCGGAAAATTCCGCCTAGTGGAAAACGCCTTAATTAGTTCCACCCGAGAAATCACAAGACAAAGAGAAATTCCGCTCTGCGCGGAAAATTCCGCCTGGAGGAAAACGACCTTAAAGGCGGTTTTCCACGAGGCGGAATTTTTCGACCGAAACGAAATTTCTCTTTGTCTTTTTACAATTAGTTCTGCTCGAGAGCTCTGAAACAAAGAGAAATTTCGATTCGGTCGAAAAATTTCGCCTAGTGGAAAACCGCCTTAAGGCCGGATTCCACGAGGCGGAATTTTTCGACCGAAACGAAATTTCTCTTTGTCTTTTTACAATTAGTTCTGCTCGAGAGCTCTGAAACAAAGAGAAATTTCGATTCGGTCGAAAAATTTCGCCTAGTGGAAAACCGCCTTTAAGGCCGCGGTTTTTCACCAGGCGAAATTTTTCGACCGAATCGAAATTTTCTTTTGTCTTACAAGCACTCAGATGGAACTAAACAGAAATATTTTGAATTTGAACAATAGAAATTTCTGTTTGATCGAAAAATTTCTCATAGTGGAAAACCGCCTTTAACTGCCAGGAAAAGGGACTTCGCTCGAAAGATGAAAATTCTTTATGTGTATTTTTAAGTAGTTGTATCACATACAAAACCACATACAGTTTATTTACAAACAATTACACTGGCTCTCCTAACATATTGCTGTTCATTGGTAAAGAGATTTGTTTTCCAATCCTAATATACGAATCGCGAAATAAATCTAACTTGGTCCTGAACATTTCATCCCCCATATAGTTTGTTTATATACACTTCCTGTCGGTCTAGCGACGGTGGAAAACATGTTCTTATTTATGTCAATCCCTTTTAAAACTTTTCTTAATATACTCAGTCCAGGGTCAGTTAGGAAACCAAAGATCTGTAATGACCGCAATGACTTCAGTGGTGATAATGATCTGAAATAAAGTATAAGAAAATTAAGAGTGGCGGTGACGATGGTGTGCCATGGGGGAAAGGTCATACAAGAGGAAGGGTGCGCAAGGAATAATAAGATAATGTAAATACTAGCCCCTTACTCTAAGCTTTTTGGAGTAATTCCGTAGCATCTACTCAGTGCCAAATGTTTCATTTTCCCATGTTCCACAATAGACTTGACAGAGCGTTCAGTGATCTCAATACAATCACTATAATAACAGAAAACAAAACAAATTACAACTGGGATTGACCTTTTTAATAATAGCATAGCCATATTTAAATCGCACTGCAAAGTCTCATTTTACAAAACTAAATTCAAGTGAGCTCAATGACAAACACTAAAGACCAATCAGCTCAACGTTACAATGAACTGTTACGTAATGTTAACATTAAACATCCCCCATGTTTTATTAGTAAACTCTCAACTAAATTAGCTGGACCAAACAATCAGATATCTTATCTGTGTTAGTCCACGGTCAATAACAAATGTCGTTGCCATATGGTCATCAGTGGTATTTTAGGTTTTGGGACTTGGGTGGGAGCTCCCCCCAAATTTCAGGGATGATTTTATTGGGGGGGGGGGGATTCCCCTTCCTATAGTCACAAACCCAGACATCATTTCCTATGCTCAACTATTTGCAAGTGAGGGGATAGAAATGATGTCTGGGTTCACCAACTGCACCTCCAAGTTTTATACTCAAGGTTATATGCCTTATCACTTACCAGTTTAATATTAATAACAGGCCTGCAATTTAGTGCTGGTCATCGGATATTGTCCGGCCAAATTTTACCTTTTGTCCTATCAAATCTTTTTATGACCAGACATGTGACCGACCAGTTTAGGCTGGTCAAATCTCCAATCTCAAAAAATTATTTATTTATAACTCATTTTTTATTAATGAAACCAACAAGAAAGCAATATAGACGGCACTTCTCCACTATTTGTTGGTGCATTAAGTCGTAAGATTTAATTATAAATCTACATCACCTTTGTATATAACATGGTAGAAATTAAAGTTATGTATAACCTGAACTATAATTTCACTACTGATGCATTAGGACTCGTAGGTATATTGTCAGTTTTAGATGCATCGCACTTGGGACTAACATATATGACCAGGCAAAAAACATCGTTCTAATTTAAAAAAAAAATATGAAAAATTTTACTTCGTCCGTTGTCCGAGAAAAATTGACAAATGTCCGACCAATTTTTGGCTTGGCCAGACGTTTCTCCTTCCAAGTAAAATAATTATTTGCAGGCCTGTAATAATGATATTCATATTCCATTTTGGGGGAAATGCTCCCCCCTACAGAATTTAGCTAGCTATTTTCAGATTTGGGGGGAATTCGGAATTTCCCCCCACAAAATACCCCTGGGTCGTGAAGGTTAATTGTAGCATGGATAATAAAATAAATGGATAGGAAATTAGCTGACGTGATCTAATGTTTTCAATGGGCTGATGGCGTGATTGGATGTTGAAACCAAATTCTCAAAAACGGCATGTTTAGCAATAATACAGCTAAACATTTTAGTCAAAAAGCAAATGCATATAACTACGCCATTCTACGATGAAATCTCTAAGTATTCCCAGTCAATTTTAGCAAATATTTCAAGCACTAAACAGTGAAAAATGCATCCCAAATTTCGTTAAAATTGGGGACGTCAATTTCGTAGCCACAAATGTAAAAAAAAAATACAAAACAAACACGAAAAACATTTACCTTGAATACTTTGTCGTGGCTTAGGCATGGTTTTAAAACAATTAGACCAGTTTAAGCTTCAATATTACTCTTTTAAAGCGGAAAGTAATAGCGAAACAACAAAAATGCCGAGAACTTTGCAACACGCGTGACGTCACAGATTGCAACTAGGTTGTTTTTGCTTGCGTCAGCTAGAGTCCTATCCATTTATTTTATTATCCATGATTATACCCAACGGCAGAATATGCACCCCTGGACTGCTATGTGATTTCTTATAAAACGTCTTATTTAACTGTTACATTAGTATAGTTTTGCTTGCCTCGAAGTTGCCACTACAGTCTGTGGTTTTACCCACTAAAGATTAAATCATCATGTGGCTGGCAGGTTTCGAAATATGAGCTACTTAAATGCGTTTTAAACGTGGGAGTGTGCGTTCACCCGAAACCATTTAAAAGCAGCTGGTTTTTCGAAATTTGTCAGTCACCTGACGATTTCTTTAGTGGATGAAACAGGCTGTAGTGGCAACCTTGAATTAAGCAAAACTATACTATTTGCTCTGCCGATTTGCTCGATCTATATGATATCCAACATTCTCTAGCATTTCGCGAACCAAAATGATGATGTCGATCGACATCGAAAACTTGGAAATCTTTGTGTACAAAGTGTCGCTCCTTTGACATTATTTGTTGTTCGTAAACGTGTAAACTGTAAAAATTAGTATAAAAACTCTAAAAATTTTTAAAAAAATCATTTATACTCTGTTAAGACAAAAAGACGGTTCTAGCCAGATAAAGTGTTAAGTTAGATTAATAAACATGTAAATGTTATGCATGTTAGTAGAAATAGTTGTGGTGGGACTTGATTGGATCTTATTTAAGATCTGTTGTCCTTTTCCTTCAATCATTTGTTAATATATGTTATTGATTGTAAAGTTAATAAAAAAAAAAGGATTATAGATTTATAGTTTACTCATACAGGAGATTGGAGTGCGTCGGTAGCATATTTTCATTCCAAGCAACATACCTTACTTCCAAGCATGTAAGTCTACGACACGTGTTGAGAAGATCTACGACAGCTGGGGAAAGAAACATACAACTATGAGCTATGTCGTGTTCAAATGGACTCGAATCACTTATGTAACTCGATACGTTCTATGCTGTTTGTACAAGTTGTTTGGTATCTATTGTTATAATTAAAGTGTTTGATATCGATACAAAATCACGAACATTGCTACTTAATACCCAAGCAGAAAGTTGGAACAAGAGTATAATTTCAACACCATACTCAATACAACAACTGCATATTTAACAATTATACCATGAGCTCCGGTCGATACACGAGCAGATACCCAATCAGGTAGTAGCATCGAGTTGTTTATCAGGCCATATATGCGACTACGAGAGCGCATGCATGGTATATTATTGTTTTATAATATATTCTCATATACTGTAAAGCCATTAATTAACTGCAGCAATAGCAATAATATACTCTTCTCTGTAGTAATATTTTGACAATCCTGAAATTCAAAATCGAGTGTTTTGACGTACTGTACGTGTGTACGGTATATGCTGATATTCGCCTGCAGGTAAACTGACGCATCGTTTGCGCAAGACTTTAGGGAGAACTAGGGGTGCACCGGAACCAGACCGGAACTCGGTTCCGGCCGGAACCCTGATTTTTCAGAGTTGGTTAGAGCTCGACAACTGGCCTCTGTAGCTCAGTTGGTTAGAGCTCGACAACTTGCCTCTGTAGCTCAGTTGGTTAGAGCTCGACAACTGGCCTCTGTAGCTCAGTTGGTTAGAGCTCGACAACTGGCCTCTGTAGCTCAGTTGGTTAGAGCTCGACAACTTGCCTCTGTAGCTCAGTTGGTTAGAGCTCGACAACTGGCCTCTGTAGCTCAGTTGGTTAGAGCGCTGCACCGGAATCCCAGGGTCGCAGGTTCGATTCCTGCAGGGAAGGTCTTAGGTTAGGTCTTAAATAGTGTATATATATATATGCTCACTTGGATTATCCCCCAAATCCAACATTCAAGTTCAACCAGGCAGTGGTGGATTTATAGGGGGGGG